GCTCTGCTACAGATTCAGGAAGTTCCTTCATTAACAATATGTAGGTGCCAGATAGAAACTTTTATATTTACTTAGGTTTTTAAGCAATGCTTCTGAGGCTTATTATTCAGGGATCAGGCAATTCATCTTCTTCTTGACTGTTTCCTCCTGTTAGTTGTTTTGAAATTGAATAATTGATATTCAGGGCTTTTAAAAACAAACAAACAACAAACAAACAAACAACACTTTGTTTTAGTGTTGTGGTTATACGTCACTCTAGGTCAGTGGAGCTTATAAATTGCTTCCATAAATGGAAATGAATGTCTTTGTCTAGAAAAAAAAGCCTCCACCAGCATTTCTGGGGGCCTTCTATTAAAACAGAATCATAACATTGGAAGGTACATCAAAAATAATCTAACCTGACCCCCTTTAAATACAGGAAATCTGCTGCTACAGTATCTCCGATAAATCTTCTAATTCTATTCACATTGTACACAGGTACAAGCTACCTCTAAACATGTGCAAGTGATTGTGCGAATGTGTGCACACTTACTTGTTTGCATGGCTCAGCTCCTTTGTAAGCATGTACACCAGAAGTTCTCAACCTGTGGGTCCCCAGATGTTGTTGGACTACAACTCCCATCATCCCTGAACTCTGGCCTTGCTAGCTAGGGGTGATGGGAGTTGTAGTTCAACATCATCTGGGTGAGAGTGGTCAGTCAGCTGATAACTTGGAGGGGGCTGGCTTCCAAATTTGGTTTGCAAGCAGTTTCAAGACAAGCAACTTGCGAACAGGCTTCAAAGCAATGGCAGCCACGCCTTCACCTGCCTCACACCTGATGTCAGTGAGGCAGGTGGGTGGGGTTCAGTGAAAGTAGCCGAGCAGGCCAGATTAAGACCCCTGCTGGGCTGAATTACTTTTGTGGGCTGGGGGGGGGCCTGCTTTTGGTCTTCCTACAAGGCATTGGGTAGGCTGCTGTGAATCTATCGATTCGGATCCTACCCTCTGAAGCAGTAGAAAACAAGCTTGCTCCATCTTGCATCTCTAAGAACCTGTCACAGTCCAGTCTATGTGCGATCAAAGTCCCGGCTGAGGACATCAGGACTGGAGGCAAGATGGCAGGTTGGGAGCAGGAACAAGAGACCAGAAGCCAGGGGTCCGAGGGTCAGGAAGCAGGGAGTCATGAAGTCAAGGGTCTGAGGATCGAGAAGCAAGGAGTCAAGAAGCCGAGGTCCGAGGATCAGGAAGCATGAAGCCAAATGCAGCAAGGCAGGAAACGAGTTGCTGTGGCAAAGAGCCAAAGGGAAATGTTGACCTTATATCCCTTCTAGGCTCTTGCCACCATGTGCAGTGAGTAACCAAGCGGCCTCACCTGTGTGGCAGCACCTTTCCTCTCCAGGACAAACTTAGGAAGGCCCAGTCCTGTGAAGCCCTACTGGTCACAGGGCCTGGCTCCTGCACTCACTCCTGACAGAAGCCTCATAGTTTAAGGGTGCTGGGAAGAGTGACTGGTTGTTAAATGGAACTGGGAAATGTAGCCATGTCCCCAACAACTCTCAGCACCCTACATGGGATTGCCTTGATTGTTTAAAGTGGTACAATGCTGCTTCATAGTGCAGATGGAGTCTCAGCAGCTGTAGTCTGGTCAACGCAGCACCAAGGCTCAGATTTCAACAGCGTCACAAGATTTGAACCTCACTCCCCACCTGTTCTCACTCTCACTGTTGGCAAACCCATCCCCGTCACTGCAGCCAGTCCGGCCGAGGGGAGGGCACATTTGGGGGGCCACACGGATCCTGCCCCGTCCAGCCCCTCCTGCAAGGACAAAGGAGGCCATTTGTACAGAGAGGGAAATCCAGCGTGGTGATGTGAAGGCCTCAAAGGAAACAGAGCGGAAGGAGTTGGGGCTGACAGCAAGGCATGCTGGGTAGGGATGCCTGGAGCTGAACGCAGGCCAGGCACGCTGCTCTCTGGCCGTCCCCATGGTAACCTCGGCCTAGGGAGAGCAGCCACCCTTTATCCTGCCTTGGCAGCCGTGGCAGATTCTAGGTCACAGATGGCCTCTGCTGGAGCAAAGGGCCTCAGAGCCTCCCAGTTGGCGGTCAAAGCTCTGGCCAGTTAGTGATGCAACTGGGCAGCGTCAGGCGGTTTGTGTGTCTCTTGAAGGACAACCTGATGCTGAAGTTCTCCTGGTGGTCCTTCCCTTGTTCCTCCACACACAGAGAAGCAAAAGTTCGGTGGCCTGGCAGGGCAGGCCTATCCATGCAACCGATGGCGTAGTCGTGAAGGATGTCTGGCATTCCTCCCCTCCCCTTCTCCAAATACCCCCACTGGAAGCTGTTTTTGGCCAGGACCGGCTTTCCTTTTCGAAGATGTTGCTTTCAATTTGGCAGGATTGACCTCGGGGCAGGAGGTGACAGGCAGCAGCACGTCAGCGGCGGTGGCCGGCGAGGGCTGGCGAACCGCCTCAGGGACAGGACAAATATTTTATGAGTAATTTAATATCTGGAACACACAGGCGTGCTCATTCCCAGAGAGACAACGCTCCTTAAGACCCACAAAGCCTGCTTTTCATAAGGAAGCGGCTTGGCGGGTGAGTGTGTGTGTGTGCGTGTGTGTGCAAGGGAGTGTGTCGTCCCTGGATTAACCCCTCCACATCCGTCTTCGCAATCGGCATGCACAGGAAAATGGGAGATGATTGTGGCTTTGGCCCCTCTCTCTGCAACCTCCCACCCTGTTGTCTCGTCCTGGAACCAAGGGATGAGACTGGGCCGAAATACACCCCCCTGAACCCCATTGCAAGAGAGCCTCTTTCATTCAGCCCTTTTGAAAGGAAGGCTCCCCCAGGAACAAACAGCCTTACATCCCAAGAAGTGAAATTTGGAAAGACACTCCCAGTGAGGGGTTGATAAACCTGTCAATTTCTGTTTCTCTGCTTCTGCCCCCCCCCCATCTCAACTTACATTTTCCACATTTCTGCAACACTTCATATTTTTTTCTTTAAAAATCTTTATGAATCTTAGTGTGTAGTTTCAAGAAACAGATTTTAGCACAATTTTAGCACTTCCACCAATATACAGTGGTACCTCGGGTTAAGAACTTAATTCATTCTGGAGGTCCGTTCTTAACCTGAAACTGTTCTTAACCTGAAACACCACTTTAGCTAATGGGGCCTCCCTCTGCCGCCATGCCGCCACCGCCGCGCGGTTTCTGTTCTCATCCTAAAGCAAAGTTCTTAACCCAAGGTACTATTTCTGGGTTAGTGGAGTCTGTAACCTGAAGCGTCTGTAACCCGAGGTACCACTGTATGCATTTTTGCATGTCATTCTTATTAATGCCTTATGCACACTTCCACATACACACACCCCATGCTTTGGTCGATGAACTAAATTACAAAATTCGGAGAGCTTTGGATTTCAAAGGAGAGATGAGTTTTGGTTTGCATGCTGCTTCAGAAGGGGAAAGCAGGCAGGGCTGCATGGAAATGTGAACCAAACCCAATTCCTCTCTCTCTCTCTCTCTCTCTCCCCCCCCCCTTCCCTGCTGGTCCAGAGTGGAGCAGCTCTGTACCCCTGATGGCCAGAAGAACAATGATGTGAGAAAAGGGATTCATTGCAGGCAGTAGCGCAGAAAGAGGAAGGGAGATGAAGCGAGACCTAAGCCAGGAAAATGCCACCCCCAGCAACACCCCAAGGGTGACAATGGTCCCATCTGCACCATACATTTAAAGCTGTATTGGATCACTTTTAACAGTCATGAATGCTTACCCCAAAGCATCCTGGGAACTGTAGTTTGTTAAAGGTTCTGAGAGTTGTTAGGGCATTTCTGTTCCCCTCTGAGAGCTACCATTCCCAGAGTGGTTTATCAATCCCTCTTCCCAGGGAACTCTGGGAATTGTGGCTCTGTGATGGGATTTCTAGGCCATGTTGAATGAGGAGAACCATGCTGAACTTCTCAATGAAGGCTGATTTACTCTGTACATTTTTACTAGGAAGGAAGTTCTACTGAAGTCAATGGGGCTTGCATTTTAAAAACCATGAACACTGCTTTGAGCTCCTTGGAGAAAAAAGTTGGCATAGCAATGCAATAAACAAATAAATAGATAATATGACATCAGGTATGGGGCCGGTGGGTGTGGTTTGAGAGAAATGGCCTTGTAAGCCAAATTGGAAAACCTGGGTGGGTGGGTGCAGGTTTGTCCAACAAACCAGACATTGCCCACCCCCAACTATAAGGAAAGGGAGAATAGGAAAATGTGAAGCTGCATTATATGGAGTGACACCTTTGATTCATCTAGTTCAGTACTGTCTACACTGACTGGCAGCAGTTCTCTGGGCTTTTAGGCACAGTTCTCTCTCTACCTGGAGATGCTGAGGATCGAAGTTCAAACCTTCTGCATGCAAAGTAGATGTTCTACCACTGAGGTACAGTTCTTCCCTGAAGGGGAGTGTGTTTGGGTCAGGAGCTTTGGAGACGGGGTTTGTGTGTTGGGCCGGCGGTGGTAATTGCTCTGGTGCCCATCAATACCAAAGCCAGAGGTGATCTTAGTTACTTGTCTAAGCTTTACCTTGGTTCTGAGGTCAATTTTAACGAACCTTCTGAAAGTTGGTTTCCAAGCCCCGCTTGATTGAACTTTGTGGACGTCCTTATCCGGAATAATACCGCATTTAGGCCCTTCAGAGAAAGGAACTGCAAAAATGTGCTTCCCACGAAATTCACTGACTGAAAATGAGGCAGTGAATCTAGGTGGGGGGGGTCAGGTTTTTTTTTGGGGGGGGGGAGGAGTGGGTTTTGTGACAGCTCTAAAAGAAATAAAGGCTTCCCCCACCCCAGCCATAGTACTGTTTATGTCAGGATCTAGAGTATATAAATTCCTTTTCTTGGAAACTATCTTCCTGGCCAAGGCTTGCTGGATAGCAAGTGGGGTCAGCTATCCCTAGGTATCTGCTGCCACCTCGTGGGGACTAAAAAAGCAATGTCTCTCATCCTCCCTGATGCAATCGACAATAACTCTCCAAACCAAAGCACAAGTGATTGTTTATTTGTTTACAAAGTTACCACAGAGACCTCTTGTGATGGAGGTGGTTTTTTTTGGGGGGGGAGGGGGTTTGAAAAAGGTTGAGTGGTTATTGAAAGAACCTATCAATGATCACCCATTAAGGCTGCACCATTTCAGAGAGGCAAGGGCATTGCAGTTCCCATACCTTGTGCTCCATCCCTGGCCGGCAGTTTCTGAAGACCAGACCTGCAGCAGAGGGTGGAGTCTGGTGGAGAGAGCAAGCAGGAAAAGCAGGTTCCCGGGTTCCTCTAGCTAAATGGGGAAGAGTAAGAACCCGGAGAAGATGCTGTCTGCCCCTTCCGTGCCCCGATGAGCGAGTTCTTCTCTGTAGGCTCTAACCAGACCGACTCGCCCCTTTGCACACGGAGAACCACACCACCCGTTGTGACCTGGAAGGCATTGTAGACGTAGTCACAGAAGGCTACGACCCTCTCGCCCCGGCTGCCTTGCCCTTTCTTGATCTGGACACACAGGTTGCCCCGGGAGGTTACATGGTAGGTGAAGTAGTAAATCCCGGTGATGTTGGAGACAAAACGCCCATAGCGGCTCTCGTAGTGGCCATTGACGTTGGTGTGGACGCGGTCGAAGCGGATGGGCTGTGCACGCCGTGGCAGCATGGAGATTCCCCGGGAGGCCGAGAAGGCGGATTTGAGTGAGGTCTTGTAGTCACCAGATTCTCCTTTGGCTCCTTGTGGGCCAGGAGATCCTGGGGGGCCTTTGAACCCTGCTGGTCCTCTGGGCCCAACTTTGCCAGGGTAACCAGGCTCTCCTGGTTCCCCTGGTTCCCCAGAATCCCTGTTTGCTTCAACTCCCCCAGGAGGACCTATGAGAAGTAGGAAAGAAGAAGGCAGAGGTGTTAAGTAGAATTGCTTAATGTACGTTGAAATGGAAAACAAATCTATAATGTGCCTCTATAACACTGTGAAGCTTGGCTGGAAATTTACATTGAAGCTGAAGAAGAGCCTGACAGGTTAATCATTAATGGAGTTGTAACATGGAACTGTATTTTTGTGTTTAAAGTCACAGGAAAGAGAATTACAGGTCTATGCGTATGCTAATCTGTAGGCATCAGTCTCGGGTGGAGTGCTCTGTTTGTTCCAAGCTAGTGAAGAGAATGGACATGTGAATCTCTGTCTCCCACAAACAGCCTGAGGCTAATGGAGGCTGCAATGGAGAAGAGATGGAGCTTTGATTTTAAGCTCAAAATTCAAGATATTTGTAATCTACGGCATTATGCCCTTTGCTGGGATCAGTATAATAAATTATGAATGTAACTTTTATCATTTTAAATTGTTTGGAAAAGAAAAGCTTTTGAACCATATTTTTGGACTGGATTTTTTTTATTATTATTTCAACACAAGAGCCAGTTTTCATTCATTCAACGGCTTCCAGGTGCACAATATTCACCATCCCAATAAGAGGTATGGTGTGTGTGGAGAAACCTGTGTTATAAACTTGGTCAGGCCTGGCCCAGCATTTGAATCCCCACTCAGCCACGAAGCTCACTGGGTGACCTTTGGCCTGTTACTGGGCACCCTCAGCCTGGGGTTTTTTTGTGAGGATAAGATGGGAAAGGAAAAAATTGTACACACTGCCTTGGCCTCCTTGCAGGAAAGGTGGGGTATCAATGTCATAAATAAGGGAACTGTTTGTATGTGGAACTCCCAACCCCACTAATTGATAAATTAGAGCTGAGCCGAGAGCTCTCAAAAAGTAATTTTAGCCAGTGGGTAAACCCACTGAAATTAATGTGTATGGCTCACATAGGTTTCTTAATTGCAATGGGGTCTGTTCTGTCTCTGAGTAGGACTTGGTTGGATATAACTCTCTCTTTCTATCTCAAGCTGCTCATGTGATGTTGAGAGAATGTGGCTCATGTCCTGGGAAATCACCATCAGCATGCCCTTCACAACAGAGGGTTATTGGTAAAGACCCCTCCTCAAAACTCCCTCCCTCCCTTGCTCCATCATGCAATAGATTGGCTCCCTGATAGGTTGGGACAGATTTCCGGCTCAGATGCTCACGTTGCACTGTGGACGAGAACCATAGTGAGAAAGAAAACATGCCCTCCACCAAATGAATGCCCCCTTACCTCGTTCACCCTTACTCCCTGGCACTCCATCGCTGCCATCAGGGCCTGGGGCGCCTGGCATGCCTGGAGTTCCTGGGATGAGCTGGGGCCCCCGGCAAGTGTCAGCACCAACCAGCCAGGCTGCATTCAGGCACATCAGCAGTGCCCATGCCAACCTCTTGGGACTCAGCATGCTGGAAAAGCAAAGGGAGAAAGCAGGAGCACCCAGCTGGGAGACCAGCAATGCACAAAGGCAAGAATAACTAGAGGCACAAATATAGGATGGGGGACACCTGCCTTGATGGTGATGAAAAGGAATCTTAGGGGTCTTGGGGTTAGCCTGGAAAAGAGGAGACTGAGAAGAGATAGTCACCTTCAAATATCTATCTCTCACACGGAAGATGGAGCAAGCTTGTCTTCTGTGGCTCCAGGGGGTAGGAGCTGAACCAATGGTTTTGAACGACAAGGAAGGAGATTCCAACTTAACATCAAGAAGAATACCCTCACATACCGTCCAACATTTCTCAGATTAAAACAGGGACGTTATAAGAAAAAGTGGGACATTCTGGGATCAAATCAGAAATGGGGACAGCTTCTGTAAATCCGGGGCTGTTCCTGGAAAATAGGGATGCTTGGAGGGTCTACAGATGTGCTTCCTCCAACTACTGGGAAAGGCTGCAGCTTGGTGGCAGAGCATCTGCCTTGCATGCAGAAGGTCCCAGGTTCAATCCTTGGCATTTTCGGGAAGGGCTGGGAATGCCATGTGCCTGAAACCCTAGAGAGTGGCTTCCAGTCGGTGTGAACACTAATGGGTTTGATGGACTAATGCTCTCTGACTCAGTCTAAGGCAGCTTCCTGTGTTCCTATTATTTAGGAGCCGGTATGGTCTGTAGAGGAAATCTCTTCCCAGGCACATCAATTCCCTGGTGTCAACCCAGCTTTGCAAAATAAGTCTCTTCAGAGTCTCATCCTCTTTCCTTGACCACAGCAGTGACATCCCAAGGGTTATTGATGCTGCTGGATGAAATGAAGCATGGATCCGCACACAAGCTATCTCTCATCTGCTGAACTAGCTTTCTCCTTTCTAAACTGGTGCTACCCTTTTGGACCATCTCAATCCATCACCAAGAGAACCCTTCTGGTTGCCAATTTCTAAATTCAGAGTGCTGACATTTCCATTTTAGAAAGCCATGCCTTATAAAAAACCCTTTCCTGTATGAACAACACAGCGAGAGAGATTCTAGCATGGTGCTGCTCTGTGTGCATTAGTGTTGTAGTCATCGGTGGTACAGAATCTGCTTTGTATGCAGAAGGTCCAGGGTTCAATCTCCTGCATTGCCGGGTAATGCTGGGAGAGACTCCTGGTCTGAAATCCTGGAGAGACGCTGCCAATCAGTGTAGGCAATACTGAGCTAGATGGACTAGTGGTCTGACTTGGGGTGAGGCAGCTTCCTATCTACCAGTGCCCTCTTTGGATCTCCCTCTGGATATGTTCTGGCCAGCAGCCATCCATTCCTCACCCTTCCAAAGGCTGGTCTGGAATGCAAGGGGAAATAATTCAATGAATGCCTTTCTCTTACCTTGCAGCGTCTCAAAGAATCTCTGGACAGCAAGACTCGCCACACTCCAGGCCCACACTGAGGACGCTCACACAGCAGAGACAGGAAGAAACACCCCCCATGAGTTATGTGGTGTCTGCCTTCCTCCTATCTCCCAGGGTTTGCAACAAAAGGGAAATTGGAGTTTGCTTCCCTTTTTTCCATTTGGCACCCCCCCTTCTCCCTCCTTCCACAAACACACCAGTACTTTCACATCCACACAGCACGGGGAAGTGCGGTGCTATTTCTGGGGGCCTTTTGTGCAAGCTGTGCAAGAAATATAGGGAACCTTCCCTTGCCTGGTCAGGCGTTTTCCGAGCAAAGGCATTTTCCCAATGGCTTGCGGTTTGGCAGAAACCCACAAGGGCACAGCTGGTGCTTCTGGGCTTGAGGATGTTCTGTGCTGGTCTCCTGGGTGTCAGCACTCTTTTGAGCCATGAGAACGTAAGGAGAGTCGTGCCGGATTTGGCCAAAGCCCCAACTTGTACACTAACCTGCTCAGAGTGGCCAACCAGATGCCTCAATGGGAAGACACCAAATAGGATCTGAGTGTAACAGCAACTCTCCCCACCAGTGATTCCCAACAACGGGTACTCAGAGGCCTACTGCTTCTGACAGTGGAGAGGTAACATAGTCACTTTGTTGTTGTTTAGTCGTTTAGTCGTGTCCGACTCTTTGTGACCCCATGGACCAGAGCACGCCAGGCACTTCTGTCTTCCACTGCCTCCCACAGTTTGGTCAAACTCATGCTGGTAGCTTCAAGAACACTATCCAACTATCTCGTCCTCTGTCGTCCCCTTCTCCTTGTGCCCTCCATCTTTCCCAACATCAGGGTCTTTTCCAGGGAGTCTTCTCTTCTCTTCTCTTCTCTTCTCTTCTCTTCTCTTCTCTTCTCTTCTCTTCTCATGAGATGGCCAAAGTATTGGAGCCTCAGCTCCAATACTTTATATACCTCTTAACTGAGTTTTTATCCACTAATCCAAGTTAGAAACCATCACTGCCTCTTGTGGGAGACCACACCCTCCCTGTGCGAACATTATTTTGTCTTACCTGAATCAGCCAACATTTGGCTTCACTGGGTGTTCTCAAGTCCCAAGGTAGAATTATAGAATTGTAGAATGGGAAGGGGCCCCAGGATCGTCTAACCCAATACAGGAACCACAGCTGAATAATCCATGACAGGTGACCATCCAACTTCTGCTTAAAAACCTCCAACGGTTTGGGTCGTACCCTCTGGAGCAGCAGAAAACACGCTTGCTCCACCTTCCATGTTGGAACCCATCAGATACCAGGAGAAATTCACTCTAAAATGCTGTTGAATTCTTATTAGGACTTTTTTTAAAGAAAAGAAAAGAAAAACGGATTGAAAGGTGATGTGTAAATGTGGAGAACAGGATTTTTTGGGGAAGAGAGGAACAAAACCAAAATAGACTCACCTCTCCCTGCTTCTAAGTAGACGTGTATAGGGTTGTACCATAAACATAGTATTGTTAGGTTGCCAAATGTATTGTAAAGGCCTGGGAAATGGCTTTTGTATTTTGTTTGTTTATTGAAAACCACCCTAAAGCTATTTATTTAGTTTCTGGGCCCAATTCAAAGTGCTGGTTTTGACCTATAAATACCTCAAGGACTACCTCTTTCCATATGAACCTACCCGGACCCTGAGATCACTTTCTGAGGCCCTTGTTTGTGTGCTTCCTCCTTGAGAGGTCTGGAGGGTGGCAACATGAGAACGGGGCCTTCTCTGCAATGGCTCCCCACCTGTGGAATGCTCTCCCCAGGGAAGTTTTCCTGGAACCTTCATTATACACCTTGTTCCTTTTTAACCAGGCCTTTGGTTGATCTGATTTACATCCTATGCCCTTTTAAAATGTGTTTTTTGTGTGTGTGTGGAGTGGAGCTATTGGGTTGTTGTTTTTATTTTTATTATGTATTTTCTGGTTTTATATCTTGATTTTATTCTACGAACCACCCTGAAATCCCCTGGGTATAGAGCAATAAATAAAATAGATAAATAAAATAAAGCTATGTGTATATTGTTGTTCTGTTGTGACCTAGATGGGCTTCTGCAGAAGTCACAGCTAAAGGATCCCAAACAGATGGTAACCCAACCTCTGTTTAAAAAAACAGAAGGAGAGTCTACCACCTTCCACTGTCAAACAGCTTTTGCCATCTGAAAGTTCTTCCTAATGTTTAGCATGAATCCGACCTAAGCTTGATGGACTAAGGGTCTGATTCTGTATAAAGCAACTTCCTCTCTTCCTATGTGCTAACTGTTCTGATGATGAAAAATGAGGCAGTATGGTTTGAAGGGGTAAAATCCTAGAATCCTTGTATTGTAGAGTTAGAACCATATAGTTCAAGGACCACCAAGTCCAACTGCCTGCAATGAAGGAATCACAGCTAAAGAACCCCTGACAAATAGCCATCCAATGTCTGTTTAAAAACCTCCAGAGAAGGAGAGCCCACCATCCACCATTATTCTACTGACAAATAGCTTTGTCAGAAAGTTCTCCTTAATGTTTAGTTGGAATCTCCTTTCTTGTAACTTGAATCCATTGGTTCGGGTCCTACCCTCTGGAGCAGCAGAAAACAAGCTGGCTCCACCTTCCATGGGACATCCCTTCAGATATTTGAAGATCTCCATTGTGCCACATCTCAATCTTCTTTTCTCCATTCTAAATATACCCAACTCCCAAACCTACACAGCTCAGTAGCCCCTTTCCCTCTTAGCTAGCGGATGGGATCACAGTGGGCTTTGCTTCAGCTCTGAAGTTCTAGTGCAATTGGCACTTAGAGCAAAGTTCTCCTTCTGGACAGGGTGGTGGTGGAAGGAAGATCCCTGCAGCTGCTCCTTCTCTGGTTGATAGATGGGGCCAGACTGGTCTTCTCCTTGCCATGGTGCTCTTGCTAAGAGGCAGGAGATGCAACCTTATAATGACTCTTGCACCTTTAGCTGTTGGCAGAGTCCAAAGCATGCTTCCCTTCTGCTTTGGAATGCCAGGGCACTTAGCAGCACAAACTAGATCAGAGCTGCATCACACTTGCAGCAGGTTCAAACCAGTGACAGTCAACCGGTGGCCCTCCAGCTGCTTTCGGGTCCAAACTCCCATCAGCCCCAGCCGGCATGGCTCAGTGCTCAGGGATGATGGGAGTCACAGTCCAAAAGCATCTGCAGGCTGTCAGGTTGGGGAAGGCTGGTTCAAACCTTTTCTCTTAACAGCATTTTTTTGGAGAGGTGTTTCAACCCACCTCTCCAAATTCTAGTGTGGTGTCAGGTTTAGAGTGTCAGACTAGGAGCTGGGAGGACAGAGTTCAAATCCCCCGCTTGGCCATGAAGCTCATGGAGAGAAATTGGGCCAGCTGCTACCTCTCAGCTTAACCTACCTCACAGGGTTGTTGTGGGGATTAACTTAGGAGTGTGGGAGAGCTTTGTGCACTACCCTGAGCTCCTTGGAGAAAACGGTGGGATGCAAATGCAATAAATAAACAAACCAATATTTGACCTAGGGGGCACTAGAAAGGTACTTTTCCAGTAGTACAATCCTATCCAGTGGCGTAGCGTGGGGGGTGCAGGGGGGGCCGGCCGCACCAGGCACAACATCTGGGGGTTAGGGTTAGGGGGCGCAAATCCACGGGTTAGGGGGCACAAATTACTTGCCTTGCCCCGGGTGCTGACAACCCACGCTACGCCCCTGATCCTATCAATTTAGAAGCAAGTCCCATTGTGTTCAGTGTTAACTCCCTCTGGAAACTCCCAAACTGAAAAGGCAAAGCTGTGATTTGGTTGTGGCTGATTTCTCATTTTTATTTTCATTTCTTTTTTTGTTTCAGTGGCATGCTTTGAGTCTTTGGGGAAAGCAGCCAGAAGGTAATAGAGACCCGTTTTGAATTAATAAGCCTTTGTTTCCAAAGCAGACACAAACCTTTTAGATCCATTTTGAATCCTGCTGACTGTTTTAGAGTGTTTTAAAAATTCACACATTCATAAATATGAAGCCAAAAAAAGAATTGTTTTATTGAGCATGTTTTTCTTTCTTTCACAACAGCTAAGACATGGTGGAACAAGGATGAAGAATAAGAATGATAAAAGTCACTGCACCTCAAAGCTTGGGGGAAGACTCATAGCATTGCAGAGTTGGAAAATATCCCACCTAGTCCCTCTACAATGTGTTGTAGCTTCTGATGGGGAAGCTATCAGATAAACATTCTGGAGAGAAGCGGAGGACCTGGAAAGGGTTAAGCACTCAAATTATTTGGGTGAGGGGAAAGCTGCTGGCCCAGAAAGGGTTAAGCACATTGCCTCCCCATGCTGAATTTAAGACTGGAAAAATGAGACAGCTAGAAACTAAAAAAAAAAAATGTCCATCCCAAGCTTGAAGGCATGGAAGGAAAACTGTGCTCATCTGCTCCACCAAGAATCTAGTCTGGAAAAAGCAGGAAGCCTGAGAAGACACTATCCGATCCCCCAATGCCCACCATGCCATTGTAGTCATTGACTGCCAGCCACACCTGGTGTCCCTGCCGCATCTGAAGCAGGATGCCACCCGAGCTGACTTGCTTGTCGTTGGACATGTGGTCACAGAAGCTGGCCACCTTGTCCCGGTTCAGGTACATGTTGACACAGAGGTTGGCCGTCTGGGACGTGTGGTAGGTGAAGTAGTAGAGGCCAGGGATACGACATGTGAACTTGCCGTTGTTGAGGTCGTAGTCCTGGTTAATGTTGGTGATGGCCCTGTTGAAGACGACGGGGGCGTTCTTGGCAGGGTACTGGGCCGTCTGACGCATCACCGTGAAGGCTGACTGGTGGTTCCGCTTGTAGCCGCCCGGCTCCCCTGGTTCACCCCTGTCCCCCTTGGGGCCGGGCTCCCCTGGAGGTCCAGCAGCGCCTCGAGGCCCATTCTTCCCCACATGACCAGGAGCTCCAGGTTCTCCTTCTTCTCCCTTGGGACCTCGACTTCCAGGAATGGCTGGTGGGCCTGCAGAGGACCAAGGGAGTGAAGGTCATGATTGGAGAAAGGAAAGAAAGGGTGAATCAGGAGGATAGGGATGAAGGACACAACTATCCCTTCCACCACACTGCTTCCTGTCTGTGCCAAATCCGGGGCTGCCATACACACTCAGCTTCTTATGGAGCAAAATGTGCTTTCAAAGCTCCCTAGCTGGAGAACTACCCAGGGATGTTGCAACTAGTGAGGATAAAGGAGGACACATGGGCTGTTTGATCTGATCATGTGCTGCCTATTCCTCGTGGAGGCTATTATTATTTTTAATTGCATTCATATCCCACCTTTTTCTCCAAGGGCCCTGTTCCTCATTTAATCCCCACAACAACCCTGTCAGGTAGAACAAAAAAATATTCCTTCCAGTAGCACCTTAAAGACCAACTAAGTTAGTTCTTGGTATGAGCTTTCGTGTGCATGCACACTTGCATTCACACGAAAGCTCATACCAAGAACTAACTTAGTTGGTCTTTAAGCGTGCTACTGGAAGGAATATTTTTTTTTGTTTTGACTATGGCAGACCAACACGGCTACCTATCTGTACCTGTCAGGTAGGTTAGGATGAGAGGCTCAAAATCACACCCAATGAGCTTCTTGGTCAAGTGAGGATTTGAACCCTAGTCTCCTGGTTCTAATCCAACACTCTAACCACTACACCACACTGGCTCTCACTGGCTCACTGGGCGTACTGTTACAGAAGTTGGTACTCCAAGGAGCTTGCCATGTCACCCTCTTATGGGGCAATATCCTCTCCCATCTTGACTTGAAGTTAAGGTGATGGAATGTTGTTTTAAATAGCTATTTCTCCTCTCTATGGCAGTCTCATGGAATAGGGTGGGGAGCTAGATCCAGCCTGACAACGTTATGAAGTCTAGTGACAACTTCTGGTTGTCACACTTGCAAGAGGAGAAAAAAGAGCCTTGCTGTCAGTGCCAATCAGCTGATTGCATGCTGACAGTGAGCCCTGCTTTGTCCTTTTGCAGTTGTGACTTGGAGTCAAATCATCCCTGCAAATGGATGCTTCTTCCCCTCTACAGACTGGCAAGGCTGCCTGCAAAGGAAAATAAGTTTCTTTGCAGGTGCAATTTGAATCAGAACTCTGCACGACTTGTTGTCAGCACCAATCAGCTGATCAACTCTGTCAGCAAGCAATGCTTGCCAAGGAACAACCAGGAGTACACATTAAGCACCTGATTGTTTCTTCTCAGCCGAGTCTTTGCCTTCCAAACACCTGCCAATATATATGACTCAGGGTGTGGAGCCAGTGAAAGTGTTTTAGAGAAAAGGACCTTGTGGTCCAAATCAAGACCCCTGACTTACCTTAATTAGGCCCATAGGCCATGGGAGGAGGAGGAAGAGGAAGAGGATGGGGAGGAGAAGGAAGAAGATGCTTACCTGGCTCTCCCTTAGATCCTTTCAGCCCATCTCTGCCATCCTTTCCCGGAGGGCCAGGCACACCAGGAAGTCCTGGTGCTCCATAGCAGAAGTGTGGAGGATCAGCTCCTGTAGACGATTCCATCAGTATCAAGAAAAGGAGGAGGCACCCCCAGCTGAAGAACCTCCCCACATCCATCTTTGTTCTGCAGAGGCAAGCAAAGGAGCAGCAGAAAGCAAGGGTTAGGGTCACAGATGCCTCACTAGGCTGGATAAGAAGGAAAGAAGGGGTCCCTTGGCAGTGCAACATCCTTAAAAGTTTCATAAAAAGAAAACACTGTCCCTGTTATCTCCAGCAGACCTCACCCAGGGGATAGTGAACATCAGGTTTAGGCAGGAGGAAGGTGGGGGAATGTGGCCATTCAAGCAGTTCTATCTGGCCCTTAATACTCTGCCCAGGGCATGCATCCCTCTCAGGCCACATCCTTCCCTGGCTGTTGGCTCTACCTGGCAGAATGTATCATTGAAGTGTGATAATGCCTCTTTCCTGGATGGAGGATGGTATGTGTGTGTGACTGCACCCACCACTGGTGTGCAGCCCCCAGAAACATGTCATTGAGAGAATGTGACCCAGAAACTGAAAAAGTCTCTCCACTCCTGCCTTACCCAGCCACTCAGCAAAAGATGCAAGCAGCTTGTTCATCATACCAATTAATTATCTATTGTGCCTTGTATTTTCAACAGAAACAATTACAGGGGGGGGGGAAATGGGTCAAAGCAGGCTAGTGGAAGGAGCTTCACTCTCTCTCTCCCCCTCCTTTTCCTCCTCTCACGGAATCCAAAATAAAGTTGCCAAATGACTGGAAAAAGCCAGCCTGGACTGCTCTTGTGTTTTCAGCATCAGCCTGATCTTTAGAAAAGTGCTGGGCAGTGATGTTTATTTCCATCATGCTACAGAAGAGTTTTGCCTGTTTGCTCCTGTATATCAAACTGCTTTCAGAGACAGAGCTACTTTATCCAACTCAGAAGCTGGCACCTCTGCACCCCAAAAGATGGAAGGAGGCAGGCAGGCTGGCTGGCTAGCTAGCTGGCTAGCTGTGTTTTTATTTTATCTTACTGCTTCAGGAGGGTTAACCTTGGAGCGCAGAAGCAGAAGGGGAGGCATGTTTAACCCTTTCCAGGCCTGCTGCTTCTCCCCCTCAAGTCTTTTCAGCTGCTCTCCAAGATCTTCATTCAAGAACTTCCCCATCTCCTGCTGTTAGGGCTAGGTGGATCTGACCATTTTTGTTTCTCCCAGTCTCTCATTTTCCCAATTCTAAATCCAGTTCTCTTACTCTGTCTGGACCTCCCTAGCCCTTCCAGTGCCCAATGCTTTCCTCTGGGACTCCCCCAGCCCTCCAAGGACATCCCAGGGGGGTCAATGCTGTTGGTGGAGAAGCCCTGAGATGACCACTCTTACCTCATTGGGTTCCAGCTGGACTCTTGCAGCCTGAAGGCAACTTGGAGGTGTCAGAGAGCTGCAGGCCAACTCGGTGTGGAGTAGAGCACTCTGTTTGCAACATCACCACCCGCAACAGGGAAGTTGGTGGCCTGGGAGAATTAGGAAGTAGACCACCCCCTTTCCTGGTTTCATGGCATTCATCTGCAAACTCTCTGGTCAACAATTCTTTTAAAAAAACAAAACCCAAAACACAGATCCAGCAATTTTTCTTACTAAGAGTCCTATTTTCCTTTAGAGAGGAACATAAGAATCTTCACTATGCCCACTTGATCCTTTTGTCCAGTTAGCCCAGAGTTGTCTACACTGACAGTCAATGCCTTCCCAGAGTTTCAGATGGCTCCCCAGCCCTGCATAATGCAGGGTCATTCTGTTTGCAAAGTGCATGCTTTACCACTAAGCCACAACCCTTTCATTAAGACATGGGAGAGAACCTCAGGTCTAGGAACCCAAGGTAGCCTTCCAGATCTCTCTACTTGATCCTCAGAATTCTTCCCAGGCAACAAGCCCTCTCCCCATGCTTCAGCCCTCACTTGCCCTGCTTTGTACCCTAATTGTTTTCCCTGCTTGCAATGTGGTCAAGGTGTGCTTGAGAGTGTCCTTTGGTTCATCCTATAAATGACAATGCCTCTTGTTTGCATGAGTGCCAGGGTGTGTGAGTGTGTGAACAAATTAGCCTAAAGTGCAAAGTAACATGTGTGTGTGTGCATTTGTTCTGCTCACATTTGCCTCTGGCCCTGCCCACCAATGGCATGTGGCCTCCAGAAGGTTGCCCAGAAAGGAACCCGCCCGTGGGCTTAAAAGGGTTCCCCACTGGTGCATGAAGACATAGTCTTCTCTAGCTCAGCTTGGTAGACTGTGGTGCTGATAATGCCAGGGCTGCGGGTTTGATCCCCATAAGGGACAGCTGCATGTCCTCAGGGTCCCTTCCAATCCAATTCTACAATTCTGTGATTTCCATGAATACAAGAAGCTGCCTTAACAATGTGTGTGTGTGTGTGCGCGTGCAAGGATACTCTTTATATAAATTTGAATAATAGAACCATGGAGTTGTAAAGTTGGAAGGGATTACAAGAGTCATCTAGTCCAGCCCTGTGCAATGCAAGAATCTTTTGCCCAACAGGGGGCTTGAAACGATGACCCCGAGATTAAGAGTTCCATGCTCCACAAACTGAGCTTAGTAGCAACCCTCCAGGGTTTCAGACAGGGGCTCCTGCTCTACCAAAAATTGCTCCCACTTTTCTCCTGCAATCATTCTCCATCCATTTTTGCATTAAGAAATTGCATTCAGAAATCATGAAAACAGAGAGGAAGTGTCAGTGACATTCTTAGGGGCAGAGGATAGAAAGAGGAAGAGAAATGGATGCCTCTTTTGCAGGAGAAGAAAACTGCTGAGAAATTGAAGGACAGGTTTTAGCAGAAAGCCGCTCCCATGGCCATACCTGGAGATGCTGGGAATTGTGGCATGCAGTGCATGACATGAATAAACTGGTTAAAAGCACCCCACAAAACTTTGCAGTGAATTGTGGGTGGGGAAGCTGTGACCCTCCAGATGTTGAACTCCAGATGTTGGACTCTCATTAGACCCAGGCAAGCAGAGCCAGCAGTCAGGGATGGTGTTGGGAGTTTTAATCCTACAACATCTGCAGGGCCACAGGTAGCCCGCACCAACAACATGCCATTATTCGTTGATGGACTATATATCTCTATCATCTTGTCACTCCTTAAGACGAGTTCTGTGGGCATCTCTCAAAGGCCCACACAAAGGTCTGTGGTCCATCTAACTTCAAACGTGTAAAATGGTTGTTTGATGTTTCCCCAATGAATCATGAGAAGATTTTCTGACCCTTCCAGGGGCAGCCTTACTCTTGGATGAGAGAGCGTTGGAGACTGATGCTGCCTTTGTAATTTTTGCTTTGTTTTCAAATATGCAAGCAAAGCATTAAGCAGAAGCAGCGGATCCACCAGGGAGAGGATCTTGCACCTTCAATTGCCTCCAGCCCTTAACAGGAGAGGTGGGGAACCATTTTCAGCCCGAGGGCCACATTCTCTTTTGGTCAACCTTCCAGAGGCCACATTCCAGTGGTGGAAGCAACAGATGAAAATTGCGCTGCACTCATATGCCCCTCTCTGTGATCTACCCAGGCAAGTCAGATGCATGATCAGAATTCATGGACACATTCCAGCCAGATAAAAATATTCAGATAGATTACAGAGTAGGACCACAGAGGGACATGATGTGGGGAGATGATGAGTGGCCTGGACACAATTCTGAGGGCCACATTGGGGTATGTGGAGATTCCCCACATCTCTCCATATCTACTTCTGTTTCCTCCAAACTTAGGAATGGGGGTTGGGGGCTATCATTCACCCTAGAGCTCAAGAGGCACATTGCAATTCCCCACTCTATCTGTTGGCAAAGAAATTAGGCATTCACTAAATTTCTCCATTTTTGCAGGGGTGGGGCTTGCCCAGGGCCAGACCAATACGCTTTGGTCCCTCAGGCAAACCACAAATGGAGCCACCCACCCTGCAAGGGCTGTATGAAGATCTACATTAGCAGCAAGTGGGGAATGAAGATCTAAAATCAGGATCTGCTGCCTGGTGGGTCCTACTGCCTGAGGTGGTTGCCTCAGTTTGCCTCATGGGTGGGCCAGTCCTGGGCTTGCCATTAAGCACTGGCAATAGCACAGCTTCTCTTTCCTCTTTTTCCTCTCCCCCTTTTTTTGGCTGATGCTGCAAAGTTGCATCCTCCACAATGTCCCAAACCTAGCACTGAGTGGAGCAGTGTGCGTGGAGCAGTGTGCCTGGGACAGGAAGTGGTGACTACTTCAAAAATTGATCAAAAATAACCAGAGGAAGTTCTGCAAAGTGGACCTTTTTTTTTTTTTTTGATGGACTGCTATGAGAAGAAGATGCAGGACTAGATGGGCCGCTGGCTGAATCCAGCAGGGTTTGTTTTATGTTCTTGTGTTCTTCTGTTTTTAAGGGATGAGATAAAGAAAAACAAACAAACTCAGAATTTTCAACAGTGACAATGCCTTGTGAGAAATTTTGACTCAGTTGTAGTTCACACACAAAAAACTGCTCAGAGTAGACTCATTGTTGTTTTGTCGTTTCTATTTGTGGTTCAGCTATTGCAAGCAGCTTGAAAAGCAGCACAGAAGCAATTCAAATTAAAAAGTCGTAATTATTCCTAGGAAGTCCCATTGTCCACCAGTGCACTCCGAAATTTACAAAGCGAACACGCATTCTCAAGAGGTCCAAACAATTAAGCAAAAAACTCATCCATATTAAGTGATCCTGAAAAAGTAGCTTGGCTTAAGGATGCTAGAAATGTGTGGCTGAAACAGGCCAGAACAAGGTGTGCCCAGTCCACTATTCATATATTTTCAACAGGGATTGGAAAAACTTTGCAGCCTGAGGGTCACCTTCCATTTCTGGGCAACACCCCAGGAGCATCGTGCCATTGGCCAGAATCAAAAGGAGATGGAACAGTGAATACACACTTTGTATATTAGACTTGCTTCTGCATACAATCACACACACCTTTATTCTCCATCCAGGCATTATCAGAGTTCAAGACATAAAAACACCCAAGGAGAATGCAAAGTAGGGCCAGGGAGGAGCATGGTCTGGGGAGAGTCCTGAGGGCCTGGTAGAAAGTTCTGGAGGGCCACATCTGGCACCCCTGTCCCGAGTTTCCCCATCCATTCCTTGCAGGGGGGTGTCTCCAACCCTAGTCCTACTCAGAATAGACCAACTGAAGGTCACACTCATGGCTGACTTGGGCTGTTGATTTCCAGTGGGTTTACTCTGGGTAGGGCTTTGTTGCAGACAACCCAATGTCCTCAGCCATCCAGCTGATGCAGGTCTACAACCTCCATCATCCTTGGCCATTGGCCATCCTTCCTGCTTAGGATATGAGCCAGTTCAATTCACCTGTTATCTCGGCAACCACCAAGGACGTCCAAGTTGCAAGGCGGGCTTGCCACAGTGATGTCAATCTCTTGGAGCAGGAGCTCTGCCACCTGCATTTTTGGGAGGGAAGGGGGTGGGTCACATGGAGGTAGCTTAGCAGCTTATTGGCTGGGCAATGTGTGTCCTACATTCTAGGGACTGTGATCTGGGAGCCTTCTGATCTTTCTTCGCTGCCTGGGGCTACCCAACATGAGTTGTAAAAGGGTAGCAAGTGGCAAAAACATTAAAAATGCAAACGATCATCTAATGTGTGATTGCTATGCTGCTTGGCACATGCGAAGATGCAAGGAGGGGCATTTTAATTCACAGAACATAGCAAAGAAAAACGTGGGGGGAAATTCCACCCGTAACAAAAAAACAAAACCCATGCGGACCAACCCTATTTGGAATTCTCCTTTCAACAAAATCGACTGATATAGATTGCAACACTAGGCAAAGCAGACCCTCCTGGCTTGTCTGTGTGCATGCTCTCTCCTAGAGAAGAGGAAGAGTCATAGCTGGGGAAAGACCCTTCTCCTAAACAGAGGAAGCTGTATACTGAACCAGACCATTGATCACTGGTCCAGCAAGCTCACTAGTGTCTACACTGGCTGACAGCAGCTCTCCAGGTTTTTAGGTAAGGGCTCTCTCCCAGCCCTACCTGGAAATGCTGGGAGTTGAACCTGGAACCTCCTGCATGTCCTTCCCTAAGACATAAAGGTAAAGGTAAAGGGACCCCTGACCATTAGGTCCAGTCGTGGCTGACTCTGGGGTTGCGGCACTCATCTCACTTTATTGGCCGAGGGAGCCGGCGTACAGCTTCCGGGTCATGTGGCCAGCATGACTAAGCCACTTCTGGCAACCCAGAGCAGCGCACGGAAACACTGTTTACCTTCCCGCTGGAGCAGTACCTATTTATCTACTTGCACTTTGACGTGCTTTCAAAATGCTAGGTTGGCAGGAGCTGGGACTGAGCAACGGGAGCTCACCCCGTCGCAGGGATTCGAACCGCCGACCTTCTGATTGGCAAGTTCTAGGCTCTGTGGTTTAACCCACCCTTTCCCTAAGACATAGGAATATGGAATCTGTCTTATACTTGACCCACTGATCAATATAGCTCAGTATTATTTGCTGTGATGGTAGTGGCTTTCTAGTTTTTCCAGACAGGGGACAATCCGAGCCAGATGTAGGGACGCGAGGAATTGGATAGGTCAGGGACCATTGGCCTGATTCAGTAGCTAGGCTCTTCCGATGTGTGCGTCTTGGGAAATCTGATTTCCATTGCCATCCTTCCTTGAATGAACTCTTCCCCTCACTTCTCTGTCACCACCACTGACCACTTGCTTGCATTTTCTTCTGGGTCCAATTGGTGCCACCACCCCAAGGGACATTCTACCTGACTGCCCAGTTTCCCTGCCTGGATTCTCGGGAAGTGCTATTGCCTCCATCCATGTTCACTGAAGAATCAGGAAGGCAGATGTCAGGGCAGCCCCTGCTTTGGACATTTCCCCTTTCGAGTTGTTTATGCAAAGTATTTTTGCTTACATTTTTTAAAAAAAAATAGTGTCTCAGCACAAAGAAACTCACTGAACAGCCCAGTTTCAAAATTCTGAAGATTTATTCATTGCCAAGTAGGAACAAGACTGAATGTCCCAGGCTGCACTGCGTGGTCTGGGAACACATGAGGTCATCACTTTGCTGAAGCTGAGCAGGTCTGGGTCTGGTCAGTGCTGGGATGGGTTGGGTTGGGATGGGAGACCTGTTTGAGCCACCTCTTTGACCATTTTGGGTTCCATGATGGAAGGAAGGTGGGAATCTCAATGTACTAGAATGCAGAAGCAGGCTTGCAATGGATAAATCTGTTTTAATTCCCTCACTTTCTCATTTTTCCATACGTACGTTCCATTCACCCCCTTTCCCCACAGATTGCAGACTTTTAAAACTCAACATCAAAAAGTCCTCATGAAGGTTTGTACACATTTTGGTGTACATTCCTTCGGATATGCCCATTTTTGCAAGCACATGTATCCTAATATAATGCAGTTGTGTACATTACTTCCACTAATTTCCACTAATGGTGTTCAGTTCTCCTAATATACACCTTTTTGCATTCAACTTTGCTAAATATACCCCTTTTCGCAAGCAAAGTCTCCCCATTATAATACTATTGTCTACATCATTTTCACTTGTGTGCAGAGTTCCCATTATTCTGTTTGGGACACAGTTTCTTTTCAGGAAATGGCAAAGCAAAATATGCTGGAGTGCAAATTTCAGAGGCTAACTGAGCTTCCGTATTGGTGTGTGTGTGTGTGTGTGTGTGTGTGTGTGTGAATTGGGTAGCTTTCCCTCAAATTTCAAACTCTGTGGCTTTCTCCCACAATCCCCAGGAAGCAGATATCTACATATGCAGTTACATTGATCATGAAAAAGCATCCTTGTGGTTGTAGCTTTGTAGCAAGAGGGAGGTGGGTTTGGGGAAGAAGGGGTGGCTTTGTCTTCCTCGCTGTCCCTCAGGCGCCCGACGGGAAAAGCAAGAAGCCACTGAACACGCTGTCTGCATCGCTGCTGACGTTGATGTTGTTCCCATCCTGCGGGTCAGTCTCCAGCCATACGCTCTCACCCTTAGCCAGGTACAGGACACTCCCTCCTGAGTTGACCTGCAGGAGGCCTTGCTTGTTGTTGTCACAGAAGGTGGCTACTTGGTTGCCTTGGTGCATGAGGCGAAGGCACAGGTTGCCATTGGAAATCACCTGGAAGGAGAAGTAGTAGTACCCAGCATCCTTGCAGGTAAATTTGCCCGTCTGGAGGTCGTAACCATCATCCTGGTTGGTGATGACATTGTCAAATACCACTACGTTGCCAATAGGCTTGTGGTTCTTCAGAGAGGCTGAGAAAGCAGCTCGGGGCTGCTTCATGCTGTCACCAACTTGCCCCTTCTGGCCTTTGTCTCCTTCTTCGCCAGGAGGGCCTGGGGGGCCATCGGGGCCTCGGTAGCCCTGGTTACCTGGCATGCCTGGTGGGCCTGGCTGCCCTGGGTCACCTTTGGGTCCCTGTATGCCTGTGCTCCTTGATGCCCTCCCTGAAAGGGAAGCAGAAAAACATGTGTGTTTCCTGTCACAGCTCAAGGGAAGAAGACCAGCCCAGGCATTGCCAAGGGTTGTCTCCAATGTTACCCAGAATAGACGCACAACTAACTGAGGTTCGTTAATTTCAATAGGTCTATTCTGGGTAAATGTTAGTTGGACAGAATGGACTATGCTGGATGAGCAAAGGTAACAGCTAAAACAAGAGACATTGATGATGGCTGTTTTATGGAAGCCTTTTTCAGACCATTTAAATAACTATTATTATATGAATTTGTGAGCAGGATTGGAACTATGAGCAACATTGGGAATCCAATAAAAATAAAGGAAAAAAATCATGTATTGGAATTTTATGTAAAATTGTGGGGATATATAGTTAATTAGTTAGTTACTTAGTTAGTTAGTTAGTTAGTGTCAGGATGCTGTCAGCAACTCCTGGCTGTTATAAAGACAAGGAAAAGTTTCTTACCATCCTTTTAATTTCAGTCTTTACAGAGAGAGGCTATAGAATCCAGCCTCTTGGATAGTGGTGTTGGCCTGAGTGAATATCCAACCACCATCTCTCCTACTTCCTCATTCATCGTCTGCTCTATAGGTGCCACTAAGCGCCCTCTGTCTTTGAGCTCTTTGCTCTTCTACTTTTAAGGCTCACCGGGTTCTGGGAAATGGAGGGTCTGGAATGCTTTCCAATGACGTGTCAACCAGGTGTTGTCCTGGCTTTCTCATGATTTCCCAACTTTCCCCCTCATCTGCCTCTGAGCTGCCACCTCCCTCAAACCTCTGTTCTAAATCTATACTGTCTTCCTCTTCCCCTGGAAGGGTCAGACTTCCGGGTTAGCGCCATCGGCAATGGCAGAGTTCCTCTGACCGAGAGGAACCCGCTCCATGAAAATCGGGTCTTGCCGCCGCGGCGAAGGCGGAGACCCTTCAAAAATCCCAGGCGGAGGAAGCCTGGGAACGTGGGATTTGGCTGACACCAAGAGCGCCTCCCCTACTCGCGGGGAAACCCTTTTTAGGGGATCCGAAGCAAAGTGGGGTGAGTGGCGCGGTGTTTTGAATCGACTGCTACTTTTACGGAGTGAAGCCGCACAGCCGTTGCCGGAGAGCGCTGACTTTTTCCTGTGGACAATTGGACTCTAAACAACTACCCGTGAGTAGAACAGAAAATTGGACTACGAAACATTTTAATTTGGCACCGAAGCAGGAAGGTTCTAAACAGGAAGTCCGCCTTCCGCTTTTGTAAATAGATTGAAGCAAAAATTTTGCAAGCTAAAGTCTAGAAAGTCGTATATAAAGGACTAAATTTCCTTCAGTTAAAATTACCAAAACCCCTCTTGGAAGCAGGAGAAGAGGGGGGAAATCTTAGATTGTTTAAACCTGCAGGAGAGAGAGTAAAGAAATATAAATTTCCACCGTCTCGAACCTGGGAACGGGGTGTCAGAGACAGACGTTTTGGGGAAGTTCATCGACTGTGAATGAAACGTCTTTTGACAGATAGTTAAAAAAGAGAAACATATTGATTCCAATGTTGCCTTTTGCATTTAAAAGAAACAAAATATTTGAAAAATGAAACTAATTTTTTTCCCCTTGCTGGACCTGCTTTCAAAAAATGGATACAAATAGAAATTGCCTCCTCTAGAGGGAGCTTGTTAAACTGTTGCTGGAGTCGATCTGGGGAATTCCACAGCTGTGGAGATTAAGGATCGTGAGACCAGACTTTGACCTTGGATAAGAATGTGCTTAGAAGAAGTTTTGGTGCTTGCTTTTTGCAAGACAAGTGCTTTGTTGGAGCAGCTGCATGAGAAGATGGATTTGATGACTGTTGCAGTCAGTAATTTTGGACAAACAGTGAATACTCATATAGAAACCACTCAGGAACCAACCCAGGAATCTGTCTTGACAGGGCAAGTGCAGAAGATAATGGAGGAGGTTGTTGTTGAACCTCAAGTAATACAAATGGAGAGACCCGAGGCCTTGCTGGAACATAAGCTGCTGTCTTTGACAACTGAATCTGGAGAAAGTCAGATTTGGAGAGATGGAGTACTGTTTGGTTTGGAGATGGGAAGTTGGATGGACCCCCCTATGCAGGGATGTCTCGGCTTTTGGGATATGGTTTTGGGCCAGGGGGAGTCTGGAGTTGTGGGGGTTCTTAACTTTGGAGGGACTTTGAAACATGCCTTCAAATACTTTTTGGATTACAGTGCTGACTGTGGAGAATGGGCTGACCTGCCGAGGGGGGATGGAGACATGGTTGGGTTGGAGTCTCCCCGAGACCTACTCCTCAATGAGAAAGGAAGGAAATTAAGAATAAGATCAGCAAAAGACAAAGTAAAGTGCAGGTATAAACAAGAAGAAGACCTGCAGAAGGGACATGGAAAAGACTTAAGAGCCTCGGACAGAAGATCACCAGGTTGATGGACTAGATGGAATGGATAGAAAGGACTGACATAACCCGAGATCAGGAAGAAGAGACGTTGGATGAAGATTGGAAGAATGTTTTTAAAAATTCATTTTGAGAATTAGTGTAAAATTAATGAGTGTTAGGGAAAATGTTAGAATGAAACTACTTGGCTTTAGTAGAAATGATATAAGGAGTTATGTATAAATAAGTATTAAGTTTTAAGGCTTTTTATGGTAAGATAAAGTTAAAATAAATTAAGGTAATTTAATGACAGAATACAGTTAAAGATGGAAAGGATTTGCAGAGTTAATAAATAGGTTAGACCGTTAAGATAAATTATAGAACAAAAATTGAGAAAGATGGAAAGAATTTGCTGAAACAATTAATTGAACTAGAATACAAAAAGGGAGGTGTGAGGAGGTCGATGAAACAAGTAAATGAAAGATAAAGATATGGAATATTGGATGTGTGTTTTAGTGTTATTGGTTGTTTTTTTGTTATATTGTTGAATTGTTTTTTATGTTTCTCTTTTTATGTATTGCAATGTATGTCTTGTTAAATTTTTCGTTTTCTTTTTTTTTCTTCTGTAATTGTTAAACTTTTAATAAATATCATTTTTTTAAAAAATGGAAGGGTCAGGATGGGGAAGCAGTCTCCACCATTCCTCCGCTGCCCAGTCCCTGACAGTTAGTTAGTTAGTTAGTTAGTTAGTTAGTTAGTTAGACACAAACTTAGGTCTTGCAGCCATATCTGCTCTGCTCTCTCCCATTCAGGGTATTACTACTACTACTACTACTAATCATTTCCATTCATCAATTGCCTTAACAAAATGGCCTACAATGATAGTACAAAATAAAATGAAAAACACAACTGTGGTGAAACAATCCAAGTTACAGGGAACCAGGCAGAGGGCCTTCTCCGTAGTGGCACCCACCCTGTGGAACACCCTCCCACCAGATGTCAAAGAGAAGAACAACTACCAGACTTTTAGAAGACATCTGAAGGCAGCCCTGTTTAGGGAAGCTTTTCATGTTTGAGGCATTACTGTATTTTAATATTTTGTTGGAAGCTGTCCAGAGTGGCCGGGGAAGCCCAGCCAGATGGGCGGGGTATTATTATTATTGTTGTTGTTATTATTACAAGCAAACTAAAGACCAGCCTAGCAACAATTTGACAGTGAAATTTCTTAGAATGCCGTTTCTTCTCTTCCTATGAAGCCACTCCCTTCTCCAGTCTCTCCAGTGACATCTTACCTGGCTCGCCCAGATCTCCTTTCTGTCCTGGGCGCCCAGCCCTGCCTGGAGTCCCTGGGTGTCCATCTCTGCCAGCGGCTGCTTGGCACACCGTGTCCTGAGGAGCCGCAACATCCAGAATCACAGCCAGTGCACAAGCCACCAGCCACAATCTGCTCGCCATTCTGCCTCTGTGGACATAAGCACAGGACCATATGATAATTCTTTTACCACCCCACTCCTCATCCTCTTCTTACTTCTCAATGGGACTTACCGGACCCTCAAACCCCGACTTTTCTGAGGCTTTTCTCACATTCTGAAGGAAGGAAGAACTATCACCCAGTGGATGAGCAAATGCATTCCTCAGCACCTCCACTTTAAAGGATAAGGCAGCATGGGACCAGAAGGTCCTGAAAGAGCTGCTGCCAATCAGAGTAAACAATGCTGTACTAGATGGAGAACTGATCTAATTCAGGGCTAGGGGACCCCTGTCTCTCTCGAGATGTTGCTGCACAACAACTCCAGTCTTTCCAGCAGCCCAGGGAATAGAGGGGGAGGGGGTTGGCAGGTTGTCTGAAGCCTGGAGTAGGTTAAATGCCACAGGACAGGCCTGAAAAAGAGACACTCAATACTCCACAGGCAAGAGCTAAAAGTGCAAGTTCGCTTAGCTGCTATTCCAACCTCAGGCAGAGTAAAACAACTAAAATGCAAAAAGGCTTGGCTTGGCTTGGCTTGGCGTTCCTGTTGATGTACAGAATACCTACAATAGATTCTATCTAAGGCAGGAAACAACAATCCTACCAAACGTACAAACAGATTGCAGGTCAAACGTTGTAGACAGTAGCCACCCCTGAGGAATAATGCTGGGACAGAGTTGCGGGGCAGGCGACAGGGTGGGGACAACACTCAATAAGGCCAGAATCCCATGACATGATCTTCTGAAGAGCTGGAAGGGGGCATCAGAAAACCCTTCCTCCCAAAATGCAGGTTACATCAACCCCACTCCTGCAAACTCCTTTACCTTGGTCCCTTGAAGCCTAGTGATACAATCCAGCAATGTTATCCACAACTAAGAGGGGGGAAACGAGCTGTATTCTTGCAGCTGAGACTTGGGCACTTGAAAGAATGAATCCAGGTTTGTCCTAATCTTGATCTCCATTAGGGGAGTTAGTGTATAAAAGACCTTGTGTTTTTTTTTTTTTTTTTTTGAAAGTTACATGCATTCCCACCCAACTGGATATTGAGAATTGCAACTAGAATAATTGGCTTTATCATCCAAATTTTGCACCGCTGCCATAAAACTCAGGGAACAAGCTGTGCTATTACAAAGACTAAGGCCTCAGATGCAAACTCTAGATAATATTTTAGAGACTAATACCTAAACCACATTTCTAATGGCTGTCATATTTGTATTGCTTACTGTCATATTCGATTGTTAATTCAAACTGAATTCTATTGTGTTTTATGTTCGCTTAGTACAGTATGTGAATCTGGTCTGGGACCGTAATAAATTTCATTCATTTCATCCAGCTACTGGCTTTTTCTTCCCCCTTCAACTTGATTTGATATCAGAAAGGAGCCAACCAACCCATCATCCTGTGAGATGCTTTGAACAGCAGGAAGAGGGGCCTCGCAGTTTTTATATGATGCACAGAATAATCAAGCTGCATTGTGGACCGTGCAGACGGCAGAATAAAAAAAAACCAAGAAGAAAAGGTACTTAAGGAAGATTGGAAAATGTTTGCAGAATATCTGACGAACAGAGGGAGGGAGCAGTACCAACGAAAGAGGATTGGCAGGTAAAATGACGGGATATGTAGAATTGGCAAATCTAAGCAGCAGAACAAGAGATCAAGAAGAAGGGGTATTTAAGGAAGATGGGAAATGCTTGTAGAATACCTGACGAAACATTGCAAACAGGTCGAAACATTAGCAGGATGAGAGTAAATTCAGCAGTTATAATTACATTGAGATAGAAACGAGAAAGGGGGGGGGAAAGGAGTAACTAGAATATGCAGCAGTAAGGAAGCAAAAATGGAAGGGAGGAGAGGAAGTCGATGTTCAATTTAATGTTTTGTTTATGTGATTATGAAAGATTATAAATAAAATTCATGAATTTAGAGGAATAAAATTGGAATATTATCAAGCAGTTAGTCATAAGACAAATGTCCCAGGGAGGGTCTCTTACCTGCTTGAAAGAGATCCCTCTCCACCAGCTTCTTTGGTACGTGGAATGTCTCTTTTTGGCTTCGCATAGAAAGGAGGAAGAAAGGGGGTGGTGAGGAGGGGGTTGGGTTCGGCTGAGTCACAGAAAATGTAGTTTCCCTTCCTCCCTTCCTCCTTTCGATTGCTTCCTCTTGCTCTGTCCGCTCTCTGAGCTCAGAACAAGCCGTGGTGCCCAAAGAGCTTCAGTATCTTTCCCACTATTTCATAGAATCATATGTAGGGTTCGAAGGGACCCTGAGGGTCATCTAGTCCAACCCCCTGCAATGCAGGAATCACAGCTAAAGAATCCCTGACTAATGGCCATCTGACCTCCTGTTAAAAACTTCCACTTAAGGAGATTCCACTGTCCAGTCCACTGTCAAACAGCCATTACTGTCAGAAACATCTTGGGGAATGAAACTGGGAGTTGCTCATTCCTAAAGTTCACTCCAAACTAATCCCGTACATCATTTTCCTCTGATTTCTGCTGGAGGGCCTGAGATCAAGCTGCCAGGTGCTGCCCCTTTTCTGCCCCTCTCCTTCTGTTTTGCATTGGTTAATTTCCCCAGGCTGACCACACGCTGGTACATATGAATGCTGTAGATTCAGAGTTCTCTGTGTTTTGGGGAAAGCGAGTGAGAGAGAAATTGAGCAGCCCTGCCTAATGGTCAGAGTACCACAGCCTGGTTGTGTATTTGCTGAGATGATTTTCTTCTTCTTCTTCTTCTTCTTCTTCTTCTTCTTCTTCTTCTTCTTCTTCTTCTTCTTCTTCTGCAGACTGCATGGAGAACCTGCCCTATGGCACAATTCAGCTGTCAAAAGAAGAAGAATCTTTGGGTGGGTGGAGGGCAGCCCAGTGCAGCCTGCACGTGTTATGCTATGAAGTGCCCTGAGATCTTCAGGTGAAGGGTGATATACAAATAAAATATATAAAATAAAATAAATATGACACAGTGCAAATGCGGACACAACAACTGAGCTCACTTGCAGCACAGAATGCAGGAGTCAGCTGAGTTGCATCTGATGTGCAATTGGCTTACGTCAGGGATAGCCAATGGAGTACCCTCCAGTTCCCAGAAGCCCCAGACAATCTTCTGAAATGAAGTGAGTTGGAGCCTAGCAACATCTGGAGGTCCCCACACTGGCTCTCCTTGTCCTGCACTATAAAGGTGGGTGTCCTTTTCACTCCCGAGGGCCACCTTCCCTTGTGGGAAACTGGTCAGGAGCTTCACAGCAAGAATGGTGGGCAGATCCAAAAACAAAAGTGATAGGGCCCAAAAAGCATGGACATAAACACACATTCATTCTGCCCTCCCTCTCTCTCAGGGTCCTACTGGATCAGACCACAGACTCATCTAAATCAGAATCCCCTTCTCACAGTGGCCACAAAGGGAAGTCTGTATGCAGTACCTTAGTGCCATATTTCAAAAAAGTATAATTCCTGACACCCACAAAGTTGTTGAGCTTTATTAGAAACCCACCAAAATTGTTAAGCTTTTTTGGGGAGACCTAACCCTCAAATAATGATTTTAAGCTTTCTGAGCTGTTTTTGATGCTTTTCCCAGTGCGTTGCCATACATCCCAGTTTTCCAAGACATTTTGCCAATTAGGCAAAATTACCCCAGACACCATTTTTACACCCCAGAACCAAGACATGTCAGGAATTTCCCTGACACAAGGCAAGTCTAGTGCAATAGCAACTCGCCCCACTTTTGATTGCCACCCCGCTGCCTCTGATACCAGAGATAAGTAGCCATTGCTGATCTTATTCTCCTTCCCTTCATCCTTCTTCCCTCTCTTTCCTTCATTGATCTGTAATTCCTCCAACATCTCCCCCCCCCTTCTCTCTCACACACACAGACTGTGCAGTAGTCATAGAAAAGGACTGGCCACTAGATGGCACCAGCACACAAAAGATGCTCCTTCCTTTCACATTGAACAATGGACAAATGGTTTCCTGTTGCATGGATTCACGATCCAGTGTAGTCTCTGAGGTCCAGCCAAACATAGCTGTGGTTCTGTTCATGTGTCAGGAACCAACAGAGCTGGCAGACAGGAAGCTACAAAACTGGATTCAGGACCCTCTTGAGTACCTTCCCCTGAGTCTTCTGCACAGCCATGGTCAGACGCTCACAAGGTCTAAGTTCATTTTCAGTCATTGCTGGAGCAAGAAGCTCATTAGGAGCTATCCATAGTGCTGAAACCTACAGCTACTCTTTCCGCTGTCCCTTCTGGGTCCCAGCTACAGACAGATCAGAAGAGGAGTTTCCTCCCAAGGGAAACCCATCTGAGTTCATTGATGGCCTTCTGTTAACGGGCAAAAGGTCTGTTTATTTAGGTCTCTTTATTTAGGACCTTGGACAAAAGGCCAGTTAAAAGTCCTTTGGAGCTTTTAACTGGCCTTAATTGGTTGCTGCTCCGTTTTAGTGTGAAATATTATATGAGACTGTTTTCATAGTCTCTGATGTGTTGCTTAACATTGTTCTTGTATTAATTGCATTCCCTATATTTACTTTTTCTGAGCTGCATTCAGCATCAGTTCCATTCAGAGCAGAATTATTGAAATGAATGGGCATAACTAATTAAGGTTCATTTGTTTCAGTGGGTCTGCTCTGAGTAGTACCAATGTTGAATGCAACCCACTGGTTACACACACACACACACACACACACACACCTGGTGCTGGGCTGGTATGGTACTGGTGCTGGTGCTAATGTAAAAGAGATGTGTGTCCTGAGTCCCAAAGTATTGCAGGCTCAGTCATGGAGTGTCTGCTGGGGACAAGGAAGGAGGGGAAGAGGAGAAAATAGGGAGAGGATGGAACTGAGAGTGGGGAACATTGACTGGAGGAGGCATGTTCTTCTGCCTCCCAGGATATGGCTGCTCTGGATGTAGAAGAAGGACTGCCACTTCCCTTCTTCCCTCCTGGGAAGAGGAGAGCATCCATGGAATCTAGGAAGGGCATCAACCAATCACTGGGAGTGGAGGCACCAGAGTCAGAAGGGCAAGGCACAACCTGGTCTCCCAGGACTTGGTGGTGCTCCTGTCACTGGGAAAAGACCCATTCTCCCTGATGTAGTGTGCATTTACAAGCTCAACAGTCTCTTGAGTAAGCTCGCTTTGCCCTGCATTGAAAAGCTTGGTGGGTGGGCATGCCAACCCATTGAGACAGGTCTCTTGCTTCCATGCAGTTCTGTTTTTAACCCAGTTGGTCTTGCAGTCCTTTCTTGTCACCTAACCTGAGCGCTGAGGCTTCTGTGACTCACTACCTGTTGTCCCTTTACTCTGCCTCAATAAAAACCTCTTCCTTATTCTCAGTGATGAACCTCTGTTTTTGTGGTCTGAGTGGGAACAAGGAGACTGTGTCCCTGCAGAAGTTGTTTGAAGAAGAAGAAGAGTTTGGATTTGATATCCCACTTTACCACTACTCAAAGGATTCTCAAAGCGGCTAACATTCTCCTTTCCCTTCCTCCCCCACAACAAACACTCTGTGAGGTGAGTGGGGCTGAGAGACTTCAAAGAAGTGTGACTGGCCCAAGGTCACCCAGCAGCTGCATGTGGAGGAGCAGAGACGTGAACCCAGTTCCCCAGATTACGAGTCTACCGCTCTTAACCACTACACCACACTGACTCTCCAGTTAGACTCCAGCTCCCATAAGCCCCAGTCACCATGGATAATGAATGAGAGATGGCGATAGTTGAAGTTCAGCATCACCTGGGGAGCCACTGCTTGCCCACTCCTAATTTGTTCTCTCTTGCGTTTTGAGCTCCTCCCCTACAAGCCAAAGTGGAAGCCCTTAACCGCAGCAGCCAAGTTCAACTGCGGCAAAACTCACTTTTAGAAAACTGCAGGGTGCAAATTGTCTGTCTAGAGGTGGGAAGCATCTGCTTTTGTCCCCCCCCCCTTTTTAGTAGTGATCCAACAAGATAACACATGTCATTTAGCTATTCCAGACTTGTAAACAATGTGGTTCAAATCATTAAGATACAGGTTATTAAAAATTTATCTTCCCTGCCGGCAAATGCAGACTGATTTGGAATTCCTAGGTTTTGTGTCCTGTTTCTGAACAGATTAAAGGTGTTGTTGTTGTTTTTAAGTCATAAAGTCTCCTCTGCCTCTCATTTCTCCTTCAAGCACGTTCTCTCCATCCATAGCATTCCTTCTTGCATTCAGAGCTTCTGTGCTGACAATAGCCTCATCTCTCGGTTCTTGATCTGTTTGTCTCCCTTTGATTCCTTCTGGTCTCTTCATCTCCCTTTACTGGGTGTCTGCACCGTCACAGAGCCAGAACTCACTCACCTTTAATTATATACAGTATTTATTATTGCATTTGTATCCCATGTTCCTCCCTCCCCCCACACCCTCCGGAGGTCAAGGTGGTGCACATGGTTCTTCCCCTCATTTAATCCCCACAATAGGTGCCAACTCCCTGGGTGCCCAGGCACCCACGAAATTCCCCATGAAGGGGCCGGGCAAATTTTGGTGCCAGGGCTGCGTGACACCCACGGCCCTTGGCACCCATGGTAGCAGGGCCAAGCTTGCACTCCTGACACCCAGTGAGCTTCATGGTTGAATTGAGATTCGAAACCTGGTCTCTGGGGTCCTAGTCCAACACTCAAACTGCTATGTCACACTGTTTCCTTTCTTCTGGGGTTCCTTCCACCTATTCCTTCCTCACTTCGCTTGTGTGGAGGAAGACAAAAATAACATGGCAATACAAAGGGGCAAAAGGGGGGAGCATCCTGGTCCATTCAAATTGAAATCGAGCCCACATTTGTCAAAAGATGTTGGCTTATAGCCAACTAAGTTCCACTCTTAATAGACCCACTGAATTAATGTGTTTAAATCAATCATTACCATTACTTAAAAGAGGTCTACTCTGATTAGGACTAGCATTGGATACAATCTAATGTTTCTTGAGATCCCTTCCTTCCTTCCTTCCTTCCTTCCTTCCTTCCTTCCTTCCTTCCTTCCTTCCTTCCTCTTTCCCTGGTAAAAAGGCACTTTGTGAAATTTTATGCACACACACCCTTGCAATTTCCCACCCACCAAAATATTAGGAATTTGCCTTAAGCACTATTGGTCCATCTAGTGCAATATTCTTT